ACCCATTCATCTTATAATGAATATTCTTCTGACACCTCATAAGTAACCAGTTATCTTTGTTAATCTGATATCAAATCTGGTAACCTAACTAATACAACATTATAACTTTATTCGTAGTTTCTTCAACCATCTAAAATTTGAATGAATTATAGTCCATTACATGATCTAATGTTTGGTCAAAGAATCATAATTTTAGGTGCTACCAGTCTCGAGATATTTAACCTCAAAGTTTTAAGGCCAATGGCCAAAATGAAGAGAACTAACAATAAATCGAAAAAAATATTAAAGTCAAGATGTGTACCATCAATTTATAAGTATCAATAAATAAGTTTCAGATCTCTAAATTTTACGGTCACAGAAATAAGTCGCTTTAAATGAAATTCGAACTTATCGATTTTATTTCGAACAGAAAATTTTATTTTTCAAAATAAGTGCATTTTATGGTTGATAATTGCAATTCACATTAGCAAAATGAGTTTCATGAAAACATCTACTTCCATTATCGTACAAAAAGCGATCGAAGTTTCAACTTTAAACTCGATTTTCTCGTAAACTTTCGGTCATAGAAACTTTTAAATCGCACTAATGGACTCAGTTGCAATGTCCTTACAAACCAACAGAGTTCATAGCTCAAAGAAATTCATTTTTACCCGTTTTTGCTCATTTATTTTTCAGTATTTGTATCAATAATGAATGATGGAGATCTTTCTAACACATTTGTGTTTGAGAAACCATTTAACTTTATGCATTAAGCTCAAGTCTAACAACATAAGTATCATGGATAATAAAACAATGCTACGATTTTTCTGCAGGATCTTGAATAATTTGTATTACAGTTTATTATAGTCTATAGTGCAAGCTAATGTTTGGTAAAAAAATAATGAACATAGGTGATGCCATTCTCGAAATATCGAAACTCAAAGTTTTCAGACCAATAGCCAAAATCAAGAGAACTGTTGTCAAATTGGAAAAAGTATTCGCACCATAATATGTACCATCAATTTTTATCGACAGATAATAAGTTTAAGGTCTCTAACTCTCACGGGTACAGAATGCGGTCACTTTAAATGAAAATCGAAGTTACTTGTTTTAAAGGAAACAGAAGATTTTATTTCTCGAAATAAGTGGGTTTTCTGGTTAATCATCCAAAGTTAAATCAGCCAACATGCATTTCGTGCGAAAATCTGCTTCTCTAATTGTGCAAAAAGCGATCAAAGTTTCAACTTCGAACTCGATTTTCTCGAAAACTATTGATGAGAGAAACTTTTGAATCGCACAAATGGACACAGTTTTTATGCCTTTACAAACCAATAGAGTCTAAACTTGAATGAAATTCATTTTTACCCGTTTTTTGCCCATTTGTGTCAATGTGTGTCAATTTATGCATAAATGTGACAATTGTGTCTTTTACAAATAGTTTACATTAATGAGTTGTTTCATTTTAATTGTTGCAATTTGTAATTTACCTCACATATCGATCTACCAATTTAAACAGATCATTCGTCAACAATTCCCTCAACTAACTACCCGTCGACTTGGGACTCGAGGACAATCAAGGTAAGATTTGATATAAATATTTACTTTTCCTTCCAATTGTTACAACAATCTTTGATTTATTTTAATTGATTGAAAGACCTTAAACTAACCCAACTGACCCATTAGTATATATCACTTAAATGGTCAAAGTGACAACATTAAATAATCCAAAATAGCCACTAAATGATGGTTAAATAAACAAAACCAATCTGTTGTTGGTTCAACAAAAATGGACTTTCTTCCTATTCTGTACCCAAACCATTCTCGTCATTTGTTATACTAAAAGATTTACTTTGATTCCACTGATTATCGTAATGATTACTCTTTCCTTTGGTCAAAAGTTAGATTAAAAGGGTCAATATCAATAAGCATTAATCACAATACAATGGAAGAGAAATAAAATAAAAATAAATTCTGAATACAATACAGTTCTTTAAGGCTTTCCCATGGAAAGGTGGATTAATTGAATTATAATTTTAGACCCAATCTATTCAAGCAACAGGTTGCTACGGATATTGTTTTATTAATAACAAAATCATTTCTAATTTTAATTCATTGACCAGTTCATGAGTCCACTTAATCCAATGCAACAGTTTCACAATAAATTTTTTTCCTCAACATCAATATTCAATGAGATTTGAAACAGAATAAGGATTAAAGTCTCTCAGGTAGCTAAGAATGATTAATTCCAGGAAATGATAATTAATATGATTGACCCACTAAAGAGCATTAACATGAAATACAAATGAGTTGTAAAAGCCAATGTGATTAACTTAATCATGTTTAAGGTTTTAAAGCTAATTATCTATTCAATTAACAGGTATCATTATTATGGAATTGCTGTTCGTGAAAATTCAACTTATTATCAACTGGCTTATTCAAAGAAAGCAATTACAAGGTAAATAACGATCCATTAAAAATTAATAAACATGGAAAAATTAATAACCTTTGGTTAACCAAAAATAATATCCAACCCTAAGAATGATAAGAATCAGAGTTATAATGAAAATCTGAGCCAAGAATCTGAGGCAAAAATATCTGATAAATGTACCTATAAATCAGATTGATCAGAATGAGTTGAATGATGAAAACAATTTGGGAATAATGTCCAAGCTTTTATTGGAAAAGATGTTTTTTAAAAAAATATTTTCTCGTTGAACAGGAAAACAAATTCATGAAAAGCAAACAAAATTAATTTCATTTACCATGAAAAACAACAAGTTATAGAAGCAATTTCAAAATGTGTTTCAAAATGTTTTACCATTTGTGATTGTGATGTAAAAAAGCATATTTTCATTTGACAATCTCAATAATGAATCAGTCAAGAATGTGACATTTGAAAATTGATATTCCAACAACAATAATAATTCTAGAGATAAGAATTTCTTTATTATATAATAACATGAGATTCAGGAATCATTCGCTTGGAGTATCAACTCCAAGAGACGGAAAATTCATCTTATCAATTTCATTTGCTGTTCATTGGATTGTTATCATGGAAAGAAATTGAAAAAAAAATCTTTTTCTCTCATTTTTATTCAACAATTAACTCTTTCAATTTTCCAATTTGCTGTTTGAATCAAAGGAATTAAGCCATGAATCAGTTTCCAGATAATCTTGTCAATATATCAACCATTATAATTGGTTATTTCATATTACATTGTCAATGAAAATGGGAAATGAAATGCACGTTTAAACGCGTGTTCAAACTTGATTATAATGAGATGGATTTACATTTAAGGCGATTGATTATCCGATTATTACTTGTTTAACCGTATGATTAGTGTTTAATATAGGAATGATTATTGTATTGTTGAACACACTTCGATTTTTGTTCAACAACTTCAACTTCGACACGTGAAGCAAACATTTTTGCCCTTTTTTCAAGCGCTTTTCAATCTTGTTTTGGTTGATTGTTATCCATGTTAAATAATGTCTCTGATTGTTTGGGTTGTAAGAGGTTGAGAGATTGAGACTAAGGTCTTGTCAACGTGTCTATTAAGTATATTAATCGTCACTTTCTCACGACATTTCATCAACTCAATGACCTTATTGGTGACCTTTTGTGATCTTCACTTTAGCCTTTCATTTGATATAAAAAGATACAGAGATTTGCTGTTTTCATTGTTATTGAAATTTTGCTTTTATTTTTGTTTTTCATTTTGATCGCAGTTTCATTGATTATTAACAGCAATTTACCTCGACATCAGTCAAAATACAAAACAAACAATTTGGTTCAATTTCATTTTTTAACATTTCTGTCTTGTTTCGGGTTTTATAAAATGTTAACATCTTTAGTCAATGTTATACAATTACATTTGTATTGTAATTGTGCTTTCAATTGTATTTTCAACAACAATTTAACCACTGTAACCAACTAAATACACAGATGACTGAAAATTATAAACCGGATACTTTTTAACACAATATTTAATGTCTATATTCACATTGAAAAAGGCTAAATAGATTGTCATTCAATCTCATATTACACTGACAATAGGAATCAACTTCCCAAATTGTTGATATACATTGAAAAAGCTTACCTTTAACCAACCTTAAACTTACTCCAGTTTCCTTAAATGATTGATTTTACATTTAATTTTATAACCTTCTTCCTCTATTATACTCAACTTACAGCAATAATTTACCTGATTCATCCCGAGTCTCTGATAACTTGAATGGCAACAAAAGTCTAGTAAGTAAAATGTTTTCATCCGATTAATTGCTGAAGTCAACATTTGATTTAATTTGATTTCTTGGTTTTCAATTTTTCGTATAAAAAAAGTCTAACCCAAGTCAAGTGAATTCACATTCAAGTATCAACAATGGCAGTTCAATGCAAAATTTATCTCCAAATAACAATGTTAATCTAAATCACGGGCCAAATGGCAATACCAATCCAAGTAATTCAAATAATCGTAATCGAGTTGGAACTGTTTTACCTGAATTTCCAACACCAAATAACTTGAAATTACCTTCTAATTTGGACAATGCAAAGGTAAATCAATTGCTTCATTGTTTTACTTTATTTGATGATTTACTTTAATTTTTGGGTTTTTTTGGGTTCTTAGACGGAAACCTTTATTATGATGTATCGAACTCATTGTCAACGCATTTTGGATACAGTTATTAGAGCCAATTTTGATGAGATTCAAACATTTGTCCTCTACTTTTGGCAAGGGATTCCTACTCATCTAACATCAATATTAACCTCCAATGCATTCATCAATCTAATTGGTATATGTGACTCCATATTGTACAAATGTATGGCCAGTGTTTTGCTTCCATCAGCTCTTCAAACCTTCCCTGACAGGTAAAGCCTCAACTCATCTCATCTCATGTTACTCAAATGGTCTGTCTTAATTAACCTCAACCTTATTCAACCTTTCTCATCTTTTTTACAGTTTAACTCAAATTATAAGAAAATTTACTCAAGAATTTGGATGTTGGCTTAAGGTTGCTTTATACAATTTACCCGATACACTTAAATCAATCAAAATTGACCTCTCTCGACATCTTGGTAATTTATTACGACGACAAACTTCAATCTCTCATCTTATCCAAGCAGCTAGAATGGTTGTAAATAATGGCGATGTAACTCCTCAAATGATCTGTGATTGGAGATCATTGTCAATTGATTTAATTACTCGAGAAGCAATTCAAAGTTCACACAGAAATGAATCAATAAATAACATCAATTTGGACTTCATCATTACAGGTAAAAAGGCAACACATTGACATCTTTTAACATCTAAACATGATATTGAAGCAATTGAACAAAACATATAACACACAATTTAGTCTGATTGTTGTAAAGATTTGTAGCAATTTTATTGCTAAATTTAGACGAAAACCAAGAATGCCTTAAATTGTCTTCTTCTGAATAATTTGCATACAATTGACAATATAAAATGTGTCTGTTGACAGTTTTACCTATCCTTTTAGGCCTCAGTCTTTTATCGTTTTGAAAATTTTCTTGTTTTCTTTCCAATTCTTTTCTTTTGATTCTAGTTAATTGTTTCATCCAAATACATTTGTCAACTATTACGGCAAACAGATTCTTGTTTCAATTACCAACAAGCATTCCAATGATCATCTTGATCATCTTTATAATCATTCTTCCTCTCACCATCCTTTTCATTAACTGATAATTTGCTTTTATCCTTTTCTGTTTCCTTGTCTTCCTGATCGCACCGTAAATGTTTAGACACAAGCTCCCAAACCCTTTAACAGTTGTTTGTCTATTTCATCTTTTGTGCTTTTACCATTTTGTTAACAATTATTTTCATCCTTTTTTTTCTTGTTCCCGGATAGTTTATGAGTTGAATGAGAGTTTCAAACATTCCTATGAATATATGAGCAAGGATTGAGTCACATTTTCATGAAGTTACCAAGAGCAATATAAATGTCAATTTGGTATTCATCTAATTTAAATACATTACAAAATGTCAACTCATTTGGAGATTGCGTGAAGCCTCTATTGTATAGTAAGGATATAGAATCAGATTGGATTTTAGTTAATCGTTCATTAATTTCAATAGTGATATTTACCAATTTCAATGGATTTGTTGTTGTAAAAGCCAATGTTTCTCTGGTAAAGGATTATTATTTTAATCTCAAGTTGACAGTAATGGTTCATTGAATGTTTTCAATCCTATTTTAAGAGCTCAATCCTTTTAACCTTTTAATCTCTTTTTTTTCTGACTTTAGCTTTACGAGATTTTGGTCGATTGTTGGAGGAAGAGTCACCAATTGAGACTTATTTTGACTGGCTAAATGCTCTTGTACAGTATTGCATTATAAATGTGAGTTTTATTTTCAAAATTTTTCATTCCTTTCACCATTTAGATGTGTTTTTTGTGCTCATTTTATGCTTTTTTCATTTCAAGAACTCCAACAATTTGAGGTACACTTTCAAGGAAAATTCAAAACAATTCTTGTCAACATGGTCGGCATTTGCATCCAGGATAATTCATGAGCTTAGTCTCAATTCAGCTCCAAGCTTTGGTGAGTCAAATTAGCCATCTTTATAATAATCAGTCTTATTTAATCTATTGTTTTTTCTATATCAGGTTCTTTTCATCTTCTCAGACTTCTTTTTGATGAATATCTGCTCTATATCGTGGAGTATTGTCAAATTGATGAATATATTATGGAATTGATGGCCAATATTAACGTTGATTTACCACCACAACCTTTGGAGGATAATTATCTGGGTAAATATGAAATTGAAATAAGCATTCAGTGATACAATTTTAAAACAAAAACAGTTACTTTAGGTGAAACAAGTGAAGATAATCAAGAGAGCTGCCCATCAACAAACTGTCCAAATTATACCAATGAGGCTGTTTCATTCAACTCACCAGCTGGGACATCTGATGAGTTTCGTCCAGTTGAACAGACCAATGTTAAGAATGGCCATGAATTTAATCGTATAAATATTATATCGCCTGATAACTGTAATTATTCACCTCCAGCTGACCATTATTATCAAGGGTATGTCAAATGAAGCTATTATTTGTTCAAATCACCATGGATATGAAATTAATCAATTGTCTATTTTATATCACAGTTATCTTATACATGAAAATGGTACTCATTTGGCTGCCAATATGAACAATCATTTAGTCAATGAAGATCCAAGGAAATCCTTCAACTGCTCTGGTGACTATCATGGCCATGTCACTGCAATTTCTCGGACAAATGAAAACAATTATTCTCGCTGTGGTGCTGTTGAAATTGTTGAACACAATTTTGCAATTGGCGAAATTCAAGCAGAACCTGTTGAATCAGTATCGATATCATCTAACTTACCATCGCATGTAACTGAAGATGTAAACTTTACCTTTTGTCCAAATCTCAAAACAGAGGTTTACACTGATTTCTGTTGATTACATCTTAGGTAAATCAACTCATGAAATTTGCTTATTCAAACTATTGAATCAGTGTTATGCTTTAAAATAAATTAAACTTATTGGTCTATTTGCATATTGTAATTTCAAATTGTTTGTTGATTCTGGAAGCAAGATTTTTTTGCTCTTTGTTTTAAAGATGGGACAAGAAGACGAACGAGTGGATGAATATTTGCTGGTCCATCCCAAAGCCGAGGAGATAAAAGATTAGGGAAAAGTTGAATATAATGATCGGGGACAGGTGTGTCAGGTTTTCACACTTGTTACTCTTAGGGAATTCGGGATTCCCATTAATTTTGACGAAAAAGTCAGCGCCACCTAGATGAAATCATTTTGCAACTAAGAAATCGCTTAGCGACGTTAACCGCTCATCAGCTGTTTCAGCCAACTTTTAAAAACATCAATTTAAATTTTGTCCACTTGTTGATCACATCAACTTACAACTTGTTAGTGATACTTTTAAGTTTGTGATATTGTTTTTAATTGTTTTTAATATTTTCTTTGAGCTTTCAATATGTCAGATTGCGGGTACACATCAGAAACTGACGATGCTTCAGAAACTGAATATTTTGAAGATTTGCAAAGGTCGAAAAACGGTCATGATGAGGAAACGGCTGAACGGTAAGTTTTATCATTGAATGATCATTAAAAAACTAATTTTGACCTTTACTCCAATTTAGGTCAAAGTTTCTCGATAGTATTTACCAAGAAAAATTAGCTGATCTTCAAGATCAACTGAGACAATTAGATGAAGGAGTGCACCCAGTTTACGTTGAAAGACTTAAAAAATGTGAACAGGAAGCTCAAGATCGATTGCTTGCAAATGAATCTTATTTGTCTTACGAGGTGGTTTCAACAATTCAATATTTCCAATCATTCATGTCAATGTTTGCAGTTTTTAATTTTATTCTTATTTTTTGCAGCGCGAGAAGATAGAGAGGGAATATACCCTTGATAAACAGGCAGCGAGACAGGAGTTTGAAAAACGCAAAAAGCAACTTAAGGAAAGTTTGATTGCTGATCTGCTCGAGGAAAGGAAACGTATTGAAGCTGAAAGAGCCAACATGAAATTGTGCCCTGATTCTCCAGAACCTGTAGCAAAAACTACTAGAAAATTAAGAAGAAGGCAAAATGATCCTACACCTGCACAACGTAAACGAGCCGTATCGAATCAGCTAAATTACCAATTGGATGAAAAAGAAATCAATGAAGATTTAAAAGCTTTAAAACTAAAATCTAAATAGTCTTTTTATAATTTCAAGCTAATTGTGATATAATGGCCAATCGCCTCATAATTAGTAAGTGTTTCTAGTCAAAACAATCAGCATGCGAAACAAGGTAAATCTACATTGTCATTTTATCTAAAACTAGTCACCTTTTACTCGAGATGTCGACTTTTTAACCATCTCAAGGGTTGTCTTTTTTAATAATTTTTAATTGAAACATTTGAAACTAAATATTTGTCAGTTGCATTTATATTTTTCATATTTTTCAAACTTATGTGTTCACATATTCGATGCATTTCTGTGCAAATTTGATTCCATCATTGATTTTAAACAATGAAAATCCAATAATAATTACTGTGATAATTCAAAGACTATTTATATTTTTCAATAAAACGGTTGAAATACCAATTTATTTCGAACGATTATTACCAATACGAAATTTCAACTCCAATAAGTTAATCAATGATGGTCAGACTCTGTGAGTCGACTTGAAGTCCAACTTCAAATTACATCAAAATAAGAAAAATTTGATACTATCGAAACATCTATCGATTATTGTATTGAAAATATCAATATCAATATCGAAAGATCTTGAAAAAAATAATCTTGAATTGGTCATCTCATTCTGTTGGCTGTTTAATTTAATTGGTCGGTTTCTTTAAACCAATTGTTTAAAATGTCTGAATTTGATTTTGACGATGACGAAAGCAATGATAGGCAAGATGGAGGAGACCATGACTCTGATGAAGGTATGTTGATCTTATTTCAGGCAAAAAGCTATGTGACTTTTGCTTCACCATTGGCTGGCGGTATATGGCTCTTACATTTGAATTTTTCAATATTTTAACAATAATTTTTTATTTCCAGATACCGAAGATGCTTCAGAAACCGAAGTTGTTGCAGACATGGAAAGATATGACGGCGATTATTTGGAAATCAAAGAACAGTAAGTTGGCATCATTTTTGATGCATTAAGTTATTGTAGTAGAAGAACTGACCTTTACCCTCCCTACTTCCGTTTCAGGTCAGATATCCTCAATAGGATGTACCAAGATAAGTTATCTAGTCTCAAAGAGCAACTGAGACAATTAGATGATGGAGTGCATCCTGATTATGTTAAAAGACTTAAAAAATATGAACAAGAGTATCAAGATCGATTAATTTTAAATGAAGCTTATTTGGCTTACGAGGTAAGTCTATCAATTTGATATTATATCGACAAAATATTTACAATTTCAATTTTACTCCATGATTTTCTTATTCTAGACTGAAAGGATAGAGAAGGAATTCATCCATGAAAAAAAGGCAGCTCTCAGAGAATTTGAAGAACGTAAGGTTGAACTTAAGGAAAGTTTAATTGCTGATTTGGAGGAGAAAAAGAAAATTGCCGAATCTGAAAGACTCACTTTAGAACTGAACTCAGATTCCATTGAAACCAAAGCTACGACTACCAGAAAACTGCGAAGAAGGCCAAATGATCCTGCTCCAGTACCAGAGAAAAGAAAACGAGGTTCACCAGCGCAGCTAAATTATCTCTTAGATGAAAGAGACATCAATGACGATTTAAAAGCTTTAACACGAGCTAGCAGTGTCAAATATGGTAAGTACTTTGTTTTTTATAATAAATATTAAAATGTTACATATTTTTTCATCGATTCTCTTTTACAGTTAACGATAACCCATCAGATTCAGATTCATCTACACATACTGTAGATGTACGAGTGGAAGATGGTAAATTATTTTTTGAAAGAAAATGGTTCCATCGAGGACAATTCGTTTGTGTTAAAACGCAAGAAAACGTTGAAACCAATGGAACCCTAGCTTCTATTGCATTTTCAGAGGTAAAATTTTCATGCTTTTTTCGTTAAACTTCTGATTTCTTATTTCTTTCTGTTCAAATCTTCTTTTTCATCAGATCTGGATCAAAAAAGCGGACAACACAAAATTTCGTATTTCCCTGTCATCCTTACAGAGGGGACGCTACTCGATTCACAAAAGAGCTACATAAAAAATCTCAAATTTAAGAGTGTTTTTTATGTATCTAAAGATTAATTTACCAAAGTTTATAGCAAGGCAATAAAATACTTTTGTATAAAACAATCTGTGTTTCTCGGCAATGTCATAGATTTCAATATAAACAGTTTTGCTGATTGCTACTACATTGTACAACTACTATTGTATTTTCGCATTGTATTTATAAACAAACAATTAGTCAGTAATTTCAACAACTAAATCACTGCTCTTCGACGAGTGTCAGTATCAGATCCTTCAATATCACGATTTATCCTTCAGGATTATCTTGGAACATCTTTTCTCGAATGAGAGTCTCGAAACTGCATATTTGGTATTATGACTTTGGTCCAAAACGAGTCAAGTACATTAGGATGCTCAAATAACTTTGAGTATTGAGGTCTATCAACAACAGTGGATATGAAACGTACTGAGTTGCTAACAATAATATCATATTTGGCTGTAGTGCTCAGCAAAGTCCATACACTTTGAACAAAAATCGGGAGAAAATTTTGAAACTCATCATGATACTTTTGAGCATACATTGAGATGTTATCACAAATTTTGGATTTAAGTTGCTCAAGGAGACCAGCTTCTTCCTCATCATCAGTCTGTAAACATTTATGAGCAACAGCAAAGTAAGTCATCCAAATGCAGGATTGTTAGCACGTATTTTTGCCAATGCGATAGTAGCTCTAAAAAGATCGGTGAAGGTTAAGAAAAATTATCCGGGATATATCTAATCTCAGCCCAAGCTCTTGAGATTCAAATTCATGAAGATATCTTTCAACAATGAATGGGCCGTTTGAAGAGTATCGTTGATGATGCAGAAATCACCACCACAGCTTTGCAAATGAGAAATCATTTCATCGAGAAGATTGGGCCTTAACCGGAAAAAATTTCTCGTCCAATCAGCTTAAGATAATTCTTGAACAAGCTCCTCACTTTTTGACATTAAGCCTATGACCAATGACCCACCCATTTTAAGATTATTTTCTGCGACTTTATGCACACTTGTTACTCTTGCGAATTCGGGATTCCCATTTATTTTGACAAAAAGCGCCATCTAGATGAAATCATTTTGCAACTAAGAGATCGCTTAGCGACGTTAACCGCTCATCAGCTGTTTCAACCAACTTTTGAAAACAATGTTTTTAAAACATCATTTCAAATTTTGACCACTTGCTGACCACTTGCTGAGCACATCAACTTAGTGATACATTTAAGTTTGTGATATTGTTTTTAATTTTAATATTTTCTTTGAGCACTCATTATGTCCTATACTGATTATTCATCAGAAACTGATGATGCTTCAGATAATGAAGTTGTTATGGAAAGATATGAAGACGGTAACTATCTGAGAATCAACAGACGGTAAGTATACTTCTCTCCATAAAGTTATTTGTCTTGCTTTTTTCATAGATAAACTAACCTTTTTCTCTAATTTTTAGCCTGTTTAGGGCAAATATTCCCGATTGGATATACCAAGACAGGTTAGCCAAGCTTTACGAAGAAATAAGACAAGTGCGAGAAGGAACCCATCCTGTATGCGTCGCATTAATTGCAGAATGTAGTAAGGAAATGAATGAACGTTTAATTGCAGCAAAGGCATATTATGACAATGAGGTAAATCTAAAAATTCAATATTTAGTAACCTAATTCAGAAAAATTTCGTTAAAAAGTTTAGAGTTGTAATTTTATTTTTATTTTTCTCTAAAGAGGGAGAAGATAAATAAGGAATATATCCGTAGAAAAGAGGCAATTGAGAAAGAATTGGAAGCAGCCAAAGTTGCAGCCAAAGAAAAAATCCGTGCTGAATTGATGGAGAAAATGAAAACACTCGAATCTGAATACGCTGCGGCAAAAAAGTCCCTTGAAACCTATACTACTACCAAAAAACTGCAAAAAAGCCCAAATGATGCTGCATGAACACCAGAGAAAAGAAAACGAGGTTTACCACCGCAGTTGAATCACCTCGTGGAGGAACTGATTAACGCTTTGGAAACTTTACCACAAGCCAGCAGTAGTTCTAAATAAGTTAGCCTAAGTATTTACTTTAGGCTTCTTTTGAATGTAAGTTATCATCTCATGGCGATTTTGTGATAGAATATTTCTTCGTATTATCGAAGAAGATTTACTTAATTAATAAAACATGATTAATAATTATCTAGATTCCAGTTTTTTAACCGCGTTTTATTTTTGTAAGTGAATGGAGCTCCATCTACTGAAATACAAAAAAATTGGTGAAAACAATGATTGTGTTTACAGTATTTAGTACATCAACAAAAAAAAACATCTACAACAACTTCATCAATATCATCTTATTTATACCTAATTTCAACTAAAATCTGGTTTTATATCTTTATCTTAATAATTCTTGTTAGTGACAAAATAAGCATAAAGCCTTCGTCATCTTAGTCACCCATTCTGTCCTGTCTTCCTCAAAGAGCAATCCATCGTGCATTTTAACCATTTGTTTGAATCCAATGAACACAATTGGCTTTTTCAAAGAGTAAAGTAGATGACATAGCATTCAAAAGGAAAATAATCGGAAGTATTTATATATTTGAATCAACAATTTTGCGATGGATCAGTTTAAAGCATTTGTTAGTGAAAATGAATTGGCAGCCAATCGTAAACAGAGACAAGTTGAATGGGATAAGGTTAGAAAACCTGATGATCCTGAGGGTAAGTTTGTTGTTTTTCAATTTCATTTTTATTTTGATTTTATTTTTGCTCATGGTATTATTTTTTATTCGGTTCTCACAATTATTAGAAGCACCGGAGGAAGAATATGATCCGAGATCACTGTTCGAAAGGCTTCAACAACAGAAAATGAAGGTTCAAGCTGAATTTGAAGAATCTCGTCGACTAAAGAATCTCATTGCTGTTTTAGATGAAGATGAAACATCTTTTCTTGAAATGGTGGATAAAACTAAATTGGACCACGAGAAGAGACAAACTCAAGAGGAAAAAGAAGCATTACAAGAATTCAGAAAAGCAATTGAGGGTTTAACAAAAGACGAACAAGTTAGAAAGATTGCAGATTTCAAAATTAGTTTTGCTACAAAAGGAAATATAAAGAAATCTAAAAAAACGCAGGGTAATCCATTGTTAAATCTAATCAAACTTCGCAAATCGGACGATCCGAAAAAGTCAAATGATTCTTCAACGGAATCTCCATGTGACAAGCAAACTGTTGATCATGGTAGTGCAAAGAAAAAAGACGACGAATTAGAACCTGAAGGTGATAAATGTGACGAGAAAGACCAAAAAGTAACCCTTCACGAACATAAAGATGGATCAAATTTGTCTTCATCTCAGGAACAACCACCAACTACAAAGACCTGTTTAGTAGCTTACGGCTCTGATTCTGATGATTCTGAAGCTGAAGATTCAGATAATAATATAGTCAATCATCCAAATAAGAAAGCAAAAACGACTATGTAAGAAAATTCGCAATGCTAATCATTTTTTACTCATTGTAATTAATTTGTGATATACGCTAACTAATTATTTTTAAACGGAAAAAGAAAGATAATATTTACTATTTAAAGAACGAATTATTGGTTAATTATTAATACAGCTAATGTTAGTGAATGAAAGGAAATTCTTAGGTAAAGTAATCAAGATTGAGAAATCGAAACGTTTAATTGAGATAAGAATTGTTTTTATTTCCGCAAGTTTATTTACTTTAGGCTTCTTTGAATATTATTTTATCTTCGCAAGAATATTCCTTCAAATTATCGCATGAAGATTTGGTTAATTACTAAACAGTGATTAGTAATTTCTTTGATTAATCTAGATTCCAGATTTTAAAATTAAAATTAAAATTTCAGTGATTGAAGCTCCATCTACTGTTTACGTCCACCAAGGCCCTGAAATGTAAAATATTGGTGCAATTAATGGTCGTGTTTACAGTTTTTAGTATATCTTGATTAGTCTTGTTTAGTGACAAAATAAGCATCAAGGTTTCTGTCACCCATTCTGTCCTGTCTTCCTCAAAGAGCAATCAATTGTGTATTTAACTATTTGTTTGAATCCAATGAACACAATCGACTTTATATCTTTATTGCTATCTCTAATTAAGTTGTCTTTGTTTACTGTTTATAGCAGAGAGTAGGATAACAAGAAACAATCGCGAGCCAGAAAAACTGTAAAGTTGAGATTTAGTTCTTCCGGTTCACACTCAGGTGGTACTGATATTAAAAGTCAATAATTTTGTATGTAACTTTCGATGAGAAAAGAAAGATTTCCATGACGTAATTTGAAATTTACAATTTTAATTTAAAAATTTTCATATTTTTGCACTTTTTTGTTTTGAAGGCGCGCCACCTGAGTGTGAACTTGTAAAACTAAATTTCAACTTTACAAAAACCTCTTTCGTGACGTCTCTCGTCACTACTCTTTTGTTTATAATGAGTGGCCTTAATATTTAAACCTATTCAAATCCCAATTCCATTTACCACATTAAAAAATATTTTGGAGATAATTGGCCGAAATATTCCATCATACTATCTTTTTAAACACAAATTGATACATTCCTCACCACAAATTACACAGTCAGGAGGAAATCAAAGTAAAGATTTGTATGCTTGGTTGGTTTATTTTATAATAATTATTTTGTTTCACTTCGTGATGATACTTCGATGGGTAACCTCCTGGATCGATCGAGAGATGATGCAATAGAAGAGGAATCTGTTGACCAGCTCTCTAATCATTATGGACATCATGGGTATACATTTCCACCAAGGTCTGGTTGCTATTTTGCAGGACATTTCATTATGGGTGGTGCAAAATTTGAAACAGGTCAACCCGAAGCATATCTATTCGGAGACAATATGGACCTCAACTTCTTAGGACCTAAACCCTTACCTTTCCCTTACTTGGCTCCATTACCAGATGAACTCACCAGATCTCTTCGTGCTTTAATCAACATTCGTAAAGAGACACTTCGCTTAATTAAAATACCATCTACTGAAAGTGATCTTGCAAACCAAAGCTCTTCTATCTCTAAAAGCACCTCTGGCAAACTAACCAATCAGTTAGCCAATGACAATGAATACATTAATAAACTACCTAACCATTACGAGTTGAAAGAATTACCTTCTTCATCGTCTTCAACCGTCGCTGTACCTACAACCTTATCTTCATCCTCATTAAACTCATCAACTCCAGCTCAAACCCAAACAAATCTACTACATGAAACCAATCAATTACTCGTTTCATCATCATCATCTTCATCTTCATCATCAAATGGTCCGTTGTACACAATCGAATTCACTTTTGATTCAGATGTCAAGTGTTCAATTACTATTTATTATCTTTCTGTCGAAGAAACAACTCCATCTGGTATTACCTACATACCGCGCGATCCTGGTTATAAAACTGAAACCTTCCATTATCCCAAAGGTGCAAGTCAAATTTTTTCACAACCATCATTAATTTTCAACCCATCAGCATTTAATGAAGATGATCTTTTATACCGTGCCATTGATGAATATGGTAATTTTGATCCAACTGTACCCTTCCCTATTGTTATACAATTGACTGCTGAAGAAGGCTCCGAACCCAGACAATCACATTCACTTATCGCAACCGTTGAGAGGAACAACGAGAAATTGTTTAACATAAAACCTTTTAAGCAGAAAATAATTATCGATGGACTAGCCTATTTGATTCAAGAAGTGTATGGAATCGAAAATAAGAACACTGTTCGATCTTCTTTTGGTAAACCTCATTACTCTTCCGATGAAGAGATCGAAGACAATGGATCTGAGTGTGTTATTTGTATGTCTGAATCCCGTGACACACTCATATTGCCTTGCCGACATTTGTGCCTCTGTAATGCTTGTGCTGACTCACTTCGCTATCAAGCAAATAATTGTCCCATTTGTCGCTCACCATTTAGAGCCTTGTTACAATTTCGAGCTGTTCGTAAGATTTTGAATAATGGTCAAGCTGTCACCACGAAAAGTTCATCCAATATGATCAAACCAGTAGAACCTCTAAATACCTCATCATCATCCAAACGTAGTCTTTCATCTTCTTCTGAATCAAGAAATAGTCATCCAACATCGTCAACACGTCCAACTACAGCAGTTGACAGCACTGATGCAAAAAGTGATACCCCACCAGGTTATGAGGCAATATCTTTAATTGAAGCTCTCAATGGTCCTCCATTGATGCCATCATCATCATCATCTCGTCCTGATGATTATGGTCAAAATCCGTCGATAAATTCTGTGATCATTTCATCGAAATTTCCGCTATAAATTCGTCTTATGGCTAATTTTTATTGTTAAAATAACTGGGAATTCAATGTATTCTCATTATCTTGTTACTAGATTCTGGTAGCTTACTGTAATGTTTATTCTTAGCTCATCAGCTGAGTCAACCAATTTTTGATAAACATCAACACAGTGATACATTTAATCTTGTGATATTATTAATATTAATCTTGTCCGCTCACTATGTCCAATACTGACTATACATGATTTTTCAAAAACTGAAGCTGTTATAGAAAGATATGACGGCGTTGCTTACCTGCAAATCAAAGGACAGTAAGTTGATATCTTCCATGAAGTTATTTGTCTTGTTTTTTAGAGAAATACTATAATATAGAAATATATATTTTTATAGAAAGTTATCCGAAGTATTCTCTATATATTTGCTTTAATCAATCAATTCTGCAATGCATTAAAGCATTCTTCAGTGAAAATGAGTTAAAAGTCAATTGTGGACAACGACAAGTTGAGTGGGATAAGGTTAGAAAACCTGATCCTGAGGGTAAGTTTGTTATTTTTTAATTTCATCTTTAATTTACTTTTTGCTCATGGTTCGATTTATATCATTATTCATGGTGTTATTTTTTTACTCGATTATTAGGAGCCGGAGGAAGAATATGATTCAAGATCACTGTTCGAAAGGCTTCAACAACAGAAAACGAAGGCTCAAGCTGAATTCGAAGAATCTCGTCGATTAAAGAATCTCATTGCTGTTTTAGATGAAGATGAAACATCTTTTCTTGAAATGGTGGATAAAACTAAATTGGACCACGAAAAGAGACGAAGAAAGATCAAAATCAACCCTTCTTGAACATAAAGATGGGTCAAATTTGTCTTCATCTCAGAAGCAACCACCAACTACAAAGACCTGTTTAGTAGCTTACGGCTCTGATTTTGAGGAGTCTGAAACTGGAGACTCAGATAATAATTTAGTCAATCATCCAAATAAGAAAGTAAAAATGACTATGTAAGAAAAATTGTATGCTAATCATTTTTTTACTCATTGTAATTAATTTGTGATATACGCTAATTATTTTTTAACGAAAAATGCAATATTATTTTTACCTATCAAAAGAATAAATTATTGGTTAACTATTAACACAGCTAATTTGTTCTCATTGAGAAAATATTGTAATTGTCTATTTATTTTATGATACAATTGCTTTCTGTTAATGAAAGGAAATGCTTAGGTAAAGTAATCAAGATTGAGAAATCGAAACGGTTAATTGAGATAAGAATTGTTTTTATTTCCGCAAGTTTATTTACTTTAGGCTTCTTTGAATATTATTTTATCTTCTGGTGATGTTGTGATAGAATATCTGGTGTTTCTGAAAATCATCTGAAGAAGATTTGCTTAATTAATAAAGAGTGATTAGTAATTTCTTTGATTAATCTAGATTCCAGGTTTTTATCATTCGGATTCAAATGTCAGTGACTGGAGCGCCATCTAATGTTTACATCTACCAAGGCCCTGAAATGTAAAAAATTGGTGAAATTAATGGTCGTGTTTACAGTCTTTATCAGTACCAATTTTGTGGTTCAGTTTATCATTTTATCTTAATCAGAAGCCTTTTCTGAACCTAATTACTTACTCGATGTTTGGTGTGTATTAAAGGTCATCCACATTAATTTTATTTCAAAACAGTTACACATCTAGATGAGTATTATTTATAAATATACCTGTTAATTAAATTGCTGCATTTCAATTTTACTTTCAATTTGTTTCATTCAAATAACTCTTGATTAAAGAACTTCTCTAGTGTTGAACATTTTCCTGCTGAAACTTCTTATCAAAGCAAAGCAGCAACAAAAAACATCTACACCAACCTCATCAACATCATCTTATTTATATCATCATTCTACCTAAAACCTGGTTTTATATCTTTATCTTGATTAATCTTCTTTAGTGACAAAATAAGCATAACGCTTTCTTCATCATCTTAGTCACCCACTCTGTCCTGTCTTCCTCAAAGAGAAATCCATTGTGCATTTTAAACATTGGTTTGAATCTAATGAACACAATTGGCTTTTTATATCTTTATGGTTATCTCTAATCAAGTTTTCCATGTCTTTGTTTACTGTTTATAATGAGTGGCCTCAATATTTAAACCTATTCACATTCCAATTCCATTTACCGCATTAACCGATATTTTGAAGATAATTTGCCGCAAATATTCCATCATACCATCTTTTTGAACACAAATTGATATATTCCTCACCACAAATTAACCAGTCACACAAACAAGCTCTCGAATCAAAGTAAAGATTTGTATGCTTGGTTGGTATATTTTATAATAATTATTTTGTTTCACTTCGTGATGATACTTCGATGGGTAACCTCCTGGATCGATCGAGAGATGATGAAATAGAAGAGGAATCCGTTGACCAGCTCTCTAATCATTATGGACATCATGGGTATTTATATCCACCAAGGTCTGGTTGCTATTTTGCAGGACATTTCATCATGGGTGGTGAAAAATTTGAAACAGGTCAACCCGAAGCATATCTATTCGGAGACAATATGGACCTCAATTTCTTAGGACCTAAGCCCATACCCTTTCCTTACTTGGCTCCATTACCAGATGAACCCACCAGATCTCTTCGTGCTTTAATCAACATTCGTAAAGAGACACTTCGCTTAATTAAAATACCGTGTACTAACAGTGACTTTGTAAACCAAAGCTCTTCTATCTCTAAAAGCACTTCTGGCAAACTAACCAATCAGTTAGCCAATGACAATGAATGCATTAATAATCTACCTAACCATCATGAGTTAAAGGAATTACCTTCTTCATCGTCTTCAACCGTCGCTGTACCTACAACCTCATCATCACAAGAGTCGTCAACCTCATCTCCATCATCTTCATCCTCATTAAACTCATCAACTCCAGCTCAAACCCAAACAAATCTACTACATGAAACCAATCAATTACTCGTCTCATCATCATCTTCATCTTCATCATCAAATGGCCCGTTGTACACAATCGAATTCACTTTTGATTCAGATGTGAAGTGTTCAATTACCATTTATTATCTTTCTGTCGAAGAAACAACTCCATCTGGTATTACCTACATACCGCGCGATCCTGGTTATAAAACTGAAACCTTCCATTATCCCAAAGGTGCAAGTCAAATTTTTTCACAACCATCATTAATTTTCAACCCATCAGCATTTAATGAAGATGATCTTTTATACCGTGCCATTGATGAATATGGTAATTTTGATCCAACTGTACCCTTCCCTATTGTTATACAAGTGACAGCTGAAGAGGGCTCCGAACCAAGACAATCTCATTCACTGATCGCAACCGTTGAAAGGAACAACGAGAAAATGTTTTACATTAAACCTTTCAAGCAGAAAATAATTATCGATGGGCTTGCATATTTGATTCAAGAAGTGTATGGAATCGAAAATAAGAACACTGTTCGATCTTCTTTTGGTAAACCTTACTATTCTTCAGACGAAGAGATCGAAGACAATGGATCTGAGTGTGTTATTTGTATGTCTGAATCCCGTGACACACTCATATTGCCTTGCCGACATTTGTGCCTCTGTAATGCTTGTGCTGACTCACTTCGCTATCAAGCCAATAATTGTCCCATTTGTCGCTCACCATTTAGAGCCTTGCTACAATTTCGAGCTGTTCGTAAGATATTGAATAATGGTCAAGCTATCACCACGAAAAGTTCATCCAATGTGACTCAACCAGTAGAACCTTTAAATACCTCATCATCATCTAAACGTCGTCTTTCATCCTCCTCTGAATCAAGGAATAGTCATCCAACATCCACAGCACGTCCTGTTACTACAACAACAGCAGTTGACAGCACTGATGCAAAAAGTGATACTCCACCAGGTTATGAGGCAATATCTTTAATTGAAGCTCTCAATGGTCCTCCATCGATGCCATCATCATCATCTCGTCCCGGTGATTATGGTTTATATGGTTACCAGGGCAGCTTCGATGACGAGAATGTCGCACCATTAGCTTCAATTGAAGCTACCACTAAATCTATTAGTGGTAGCAGCCAATCAATGGTTGTAATCAAAGATCGAGATACTCTTCGCCACTTGAAAGAATCTATAAGCAACAGTAAAAATTCGCGGCACGCGAAATCATCATCATCTTCATTATCGGAAATTCGCTATCCAATTCCTTCCTCTTCATCATCTAGTCCTAGAATGGGTTCTCGTTCCAAGTCAATATCCAAATCAAAATTAGCAATGGTTAATAGTGTCATTGAAAGGGGAGGAAAAAATTATAGAAGTTCTGAATCACTTACTCTATGGTCTCAACAGGATTCACCTGAAAGTGGATCCGAGGATCAAGAAAAAGTAAAACTCCTTGATCAAGAAAATTCTCATCAAAGTCATCCAAGGCAAAAACAAACAACATCAAGTGAAACAAGATCCGTTTACATTGAACCAATAAGATCTCGTAAGGCACTTAGGAAAAGAGGAAGTCTTTATGATGATTCGGAATTAAAGGCATTAAATTCATCATCTCACAACTCATCGAATAATCAATTGGAAATGGATTCAATTGAAGCGCTAGATATAAATTCAATCAACTTATCGGCAACATCTTATCCCGATCTTTTTTTAAGAGATGGTTTCGATGAGCAGCGATTTATGGATGAGACAGACATGTTAAGCGTTTCTACAAATGACTCGGTTCCTAATGAATTTACGTCAAAATAAGTTGTGGTCATCATATTAATGATATTATTTTTATTATTTTACTTCCTTCCATTCATTTATTCATTCAATCTTTTTTTGAAATCTTTCTCTTTGATTTTTGTTGATTTTACAAATTTCTTGAAAAAAATGCTTTTTAAGTATCAATTATATAGAAAGACGAAAAAAAAATCAAATGAAAGATACCACCAAAAAAGAATTCATTTTGTGGTAAAATCGAAATCCAATATAAACCAGAAGTGTTGCTTGTGCCATTGTTTGCTTCTTTTATTATTATTGTTATTATAATTATTATTATTATTATAATTATTATTATTCATTATAATTATTAAGGATTATTACGGGATAATTTTTGATTTCTTTTACAAGATGATATATTTGGTGAGTACATTGATGGTATCGACGATGATGAACCATTCTCAAAGTTTGCCATATTTTTCTCGTTTCTCATTATTTCTAATGTGTTGACGATGATTGAAAATCGGAGATGTGTCAGTTACGTGGATGGATTTTATTTACCGTGTTTTTTCAAACCAATGAGCTCAAATATTTGGTATCTTTTTAGTGTATTTACTTGATCTCAATCCTTTCATTGGTTCTTAACAATTGAATGAATACTTTATAATTCAATGTTGAATTCAAGTGTTGCAATAAAATGATTGGAGTGTCAATTTATCCGTTCAATAATAAATTTGATGAATTCCATGAGACTAAACTTTCTCATCATGGTACCACCATTTTGTTTTCTTAGGATTTTTGCTGCAAGTTTTCACATAAAGAGAGTTATCTGGAGGCCTTTTCTTTTCCGTGCAGCTTGAAAGCATTGAAACGATGCTGTTAGAAGAAATATAAAAATAGAAATTATTTAGTTTAATATTCATAAAAATAATTTCGGCGAAAACTCAAATTTAAATCAAATTGTCAACGAAAAATATTGATTATAACAAAAAGATTTCCATATCTAATCCAAAATTCGCATCAAAATTGAGAGAAATAACTAATTGTTCACCAAAGAATGATAATTCAATGTAAAATCGATTTTGGGTGCAAATAAACGAATGGAAATAAAATTACAGAGATGATTAACTCTTTAGAGTTTAATATAGTTAAGTAATTAGCGAAAACAGAAATAACAGATAGATTTGAATTCTGGTAAAATGAAAAAACTACAAATGCAAATGTTCATAGCCTAAACTAAACGTAGATAATTGAGTTGGAATTAAATGGGAAGTAGAGCTGAAAGAGAAGCCCAAGATTTCATAAATGATTGGGGAATTGAGAAGAGTGAGGCTATTAATTATGATGACAGACATGGTTACGATTTATTGACATTAAAAAGTAAATAGTTGGTAAATAGTGAATAGTAAATAGGACTAGAAATTATCTGAAAGCGATGAAAATGAAAATGTTCAGAGCAAAAAAGAGGGAACAAAAAACAAAGGTTATTATTAATAATAAAGGGCAATCAGTTCTTGTTTTGATAAATTTTCAGTAACCTAAAAATAAATGGTTCCAAAGAAATCAATTGATAAATTAAAAGAAGACCATGGTAACAAAAGTAAATTAAGAGTGATAACTAAATTCAAAAGAGACAAAAAGCTAAGATGAAACAATCGATTATTTGTGATATACATGATCATGGAAATATGTTTGATTGGATCGATAAAATGAAAGTGTAAAAAATGATCATGCTCTGGTTCAGAGGTATATATTATGATGCAAAACCAACCGGTAATCGAGTAAATTGAATTGTAATATCAGAAAACAATACAAAATGGTTGAATCTGAAAGCAGTACAAAAAGCAAAATGCACTCGATTTTTTAAAAGCGATAAGCAAGCAACATTGAACAATCATAATTTGTCATCATATTGAAACAACCTATGAGTAAACAATAAAACGAATCTAATTGCTGAAACAATCTAAAAAATGATGGCTGATTCGAATAGATAGTTTTAAAATGATTGTGTCTTTGAACTATCTTGAAACAGTAAGTGTTTTGCTTTAAGCTGAGTTTTTGGCTGATGGTTAAAAAAGATTGATTAACTATATGCAGACCATCATTGTCAGTCAGATGATTAAGTATTGAGTAATAAACGTGGCTGAACTAAGGCAGGTTAGGGTTGAAAATGCAGTCTAATTAGATCTAAAAAGGTATTTTGTGACAGAACGAGTTAAACATGTGACAGAACAAAGTTGAAGAAAGTGCGATCAGCTGTGACGTGCTTAAATGCCTTCACACCAGTAAGCATAACATGTAGCATTTCAATGAAGTTCACAAATCAGGGTACATTAGAATAAGGTCACTAACCTGAGACAAACAGATTGAACTGAAAGAGCAGGCGACCAGTCCTCAGTTAAAATTGACAGACAAATGTGTCCATTGCTATATACATGGGGGTGAATTGGGATATTAGGGCCAATGAAAGTAACCTCTGGCGAATCAAAAGGATATTTTGAACTAAATTTGAATTGGAGTTGAAATTTTTCGCCTTCATAGAGAGTTCCAGAGGCTCCTTCCATGTCAACAATCCATCTTTAAAGGATATTGGTATTGCAAGAATATAATCAAGGTGGTAGAGTATTGTCGAAGTACAGGTAATATCCAATAAGTAGTGATGTGTTCATGATGGTGAATTTAGTACAATAGGCCAGAGTCAATAAATTAACCATCCAAGAGGTTTATAAAGAAGATAAAAAAAGTGAGTTTGATTAGAAAAGGCGATCACAGTAATAAGATTTGATTTATAATCTTGTCAATATAGACAGAGAGATATGATACTTACTGAGTCAAGCTTGAGCCAACGCTATTTTGATTAATACTAACTCCTGGTGGTGGTTCAGTTTGAATTGACTTCAATTCTCTCTGTAATCTTTTCTGTAATAAATTATTATAATAATGATTGGTCATGTCATTGAATTAAGTAATTAATAAAGATAAAAAATGATTGTAAAGCAGTAAAGGAGAAGAAAATTCAAGATGGAGACAGAAAGGAGAGTGAAGAGTATGGGGACGTCAATAGAAAGATTAGGTTTAAGGATTGGGAGAGAGGGAAAGATGAGATTAACAATAGAGAGATGATGATAGAAATAATTTAAAAAATATAATTAAAATAAATATCTAGAAATTCATTACCTGCATCGAAGCCATTTTCAGTTAGATATTAAGGCATAATATAATATTACAATCAACGTAGAAATATTTTGTAAAATAAAAATTTAAATACACCTTCAGTGTAGTCCGATTGAGATTTACTGTCAACACGATTTTGTCAAAAGTTAAGTAATAATTTATGAGATAAAGGTAAACTGTAAAAGACAAAAATAAAGAATAAATTAATTGATTGAAGTGAAAGGCAGAAATAGTCAATTACTTGAAACAAGGAGTAAATCGTCACGTATAGCAAGCTAAGGGCAACCTTTTGCCTTTTTGCCACCCATTATTGACACATGTCAGCTTAAATTGGATTGGAAAGACTTGATACTTGACCTAGGTAGATGCACATGAAACCTGATCGGTCTGGTAGCAAACTAATTTTGATAAAAATGAAAACAACAATAACCAGATCATAATCAAGTCAGACTGAAGTGCGCATTTATTTGAGCATTAGTCATGATGCAGCTGAATCAAAGTTTAAATAATAGAAGACAGAGAATATAGAGAAAAATATTATCTTAATAACTATCCTTGATTACTAACAGACATGAAAAAATCTCAAAGAATAAAAAATAAATAAGAAAGGAATAAAACAGTGGTCAGTGTTAAGTCCCCTGAACTATCCTATCCTCCCTTCCTGATAGATTCCCAGCTAAGCTGGATGAAGCCTAACACCTTTGTGTAGGTAAAACACCTGACTAGCAAGGGGTGGACTGTGCCTTAAAAGCTGTCGCAGCTGGCCGGTCGACCCAGTAAAAAAGTTAACTTAATCCTGACCACTAATTGAAAAATATTGAAAGGTTTTTACTCCAACATGAAGCAGACAAGACAACATGGTAAAGAGAAGCAAGTAGACATCTTACCTTGATTGAAGTTACCAATGTACCATTGCTAATCCAATGATAGGAATCAAAAGAGCATTATTTATTGTACGTATTTGAATCGAAAAATATAATTTAAATGAATATACATTTGTTAATTAAAATTAAAAATACAATAAACTGGGAGACTGTTTATTCAAACGATGTCAACAAAAACAAAATGATCAACTAACAAATGTTTTCTCAAATTACATAATATTTTGTTACTAGATGTCGCTCTATATCGAGTAATCCGATATTTTTTCCCGTTTAAAATATTGAATTTATTGATCAACTATTTGGCCAAAACTGCATAATTCCTAATTAATTGATCATTAATTACTCCAATGTTAGCTGCCAATCTTAAATCAATTCCTCTGAAATCATTAAAGTTTTTTAATGAGATATATTTTGTCATAAACATTTGATATTCTCAATTGTTAGCGGTTCAATTTCAAGTGAAACCTCTAATTGATATGATTTTTAATATTTAGCTGGAATTAAGTATTAATAAATCATCTAGACTCTGGTAAATGTAAATGCTGAAAATGAATCAAGAATGATCAAAGTATCATAGAATGAATAAATTTAATCGGTTACATTTGATCTTTTATAATTTTGTTTTCAAAATGACTTGTAAGGTTGATTTAAACTCATTATTTAATTAGTCATAGCTTAACCAACTGTGTTTTAACAATGTATTAGATGAGCCTTGAAAAAAGAGTAAACAATTTACAATGTAGATTGTGGGCCAGAATTTTGATTAGCTAGTCGATATCTTAAGATATATCTAGTATTAAACTCAAAAGATGGACACTTTGAATGGCCGACTTCATTGTTATTGTTAATTTGGTGCTATTATCAATGTTAGTGCGGTTTGAAGTAACCTTACACCACTTTAACCTTTGAAAACACTTTGATAAATAGTGGCCGACTTGACATTGAAATGGCATAAAATCAAGTGATAACGTTTACTCAGGTTGAACTGATGATTCTCAATTATAGTTTCAGCTGATTTGATTAATCGAATAGAATAATTTGATTGCAAGTCTAGATTCAAAGTATAAAAGGTATTGAATATCCGAAGAAACCTTTTATTTGATTTTTTTCTAAATCGTTCGAATTGATTGCTATTCTTTTTAATTTTCTTCATTTAGATTTTGTTTAGTCAACTCTTCGTAATATTTATAAGAGCTCAATTCAGTTGATCATGAGATCAAAAATTTGGTCCAAAATAATTCTACTTGTTTGCCTTTGTTTAGTCCCCGAATACTCAGTGTTTTGTATCAATTTTGAAGAAGACAATGATCGACTTGGTGTGGATCCAATTGAAACAGAGGATCGCTTTGGGTACTTTGGTGATTTGATGCCTCCAAACTTTGCAGATTTCTTATCACCTTTAAGAAGGGACAATGATGACGATTTTGAAGATATTGACCGATACGGTAAAGGTAAAGCTGACAATGATAATGAGGAAGACTCTCGCTCTTACATTGGCAATGTCTATAACCCAAACCCAAAAGCAAAGAATATATTTGATGTTTTAAACGCTGATAGTGACATTGATGACGTACATATCCGCAGTTCAAATGAGCAAAGCTTGGACGATATGGATTATGATGATAACGATGACGATGATGAGGATGACGAAGGTGACAGAGACAAAGTTAAGCATCCATCAATGGACTTAATCAGAAGGATCAGTCCGTCTTGGGATAAGTCTAATGAAAGTGATCGGGATGATGGTAGGATTATTGGGAAGTCAGCTTCCATGAAAGATTCCATTTCAAGGTTAATTGGTATTGGACATAAATCATCAACGGCGAGTCCTGATGAAGCTGATGGGGAAAGTAAAAAAGATGGTGATAGCAATGATGACGACGACGACGATGATGATGATGATGATAGTGATGAATCTAATCAAAAAACAACTAAAGTGGATGGTAAATCAAAAGGCAATATTTTCTCAAAATTGTTCTCAAAATCCAAAAAAACTAGTTCTGAAATGGATCATAAAGCCACGACTGAGGCCAGTAAGCTAACTACAGAAAAATCATCTGCCAGTAATCAGACAGCGTCTAGTGACGAGGACAATGATGATGATGATGAAGACGAAAGTGGCGATAATAGCACAAGTTCATCTCGTACCTCAACAATAAAAAAATCATCTGAATCTGGTTCTACCATTGTTACACCACTTTCATCATCGACTACTGATTTTACAAGCACGACTTCAACCACTAAAAAAGGTAAATCACACAAGCATGAGGAACCATCCTCGACTAGCTCCACATCTGCACCAGACAACATCTCGTCCACAGAAAAAGTGACCAAAAAGCATCATAAAAGTCATACTTCAACAATAACAATGCCATCAACAACTCTTGCTTATAAGGCCTCTGAAACATCGCCTAAAAATACGAAAGATAAAGAGGAGAGCGAAGACGGTGAAAATAAATCTGATCATAAATCGAGTTTAGAGATTATTGAAGCTTTCTTGGCTGGTTTAGGTCATGAATCACATCACACGAAAGACAATCATAATTCAACTGAAACTCCTGCAACAAAATCCCCAAAACATTCAAAAACTCATAAGAAGAAACATGGCAAAAAACACAAAAAAACTACGACTCTTGTACCAGAATCTATGTCAACAGCATTGGAAGAAACTGGTTCCAACTCTTCATCAACGACAGCAAAACCAGAAAATAAATCAACAACTAGTACAGAAGTTTCATCCACTATTAGACCAAAAGGAGACACAACTACAGCTACACCAACATCTACAACCGATTCAGGTGCGAGTTTCCCTGTTATATCTATTACCAGAACAACAAGCAATGAACGTCCAACGTCTGACTCTTCGACTGCAGAATCAAATGCTAACTCAAACAGCCAAGTTAGCTCAACCACTCCAATCCCTACTTTGGGTCCATATGTTGAGGATTCTGATGATATCATTGTAACTAATGAGAGTATTGTTTATTCAGATTGGAATCCTGATGTTTTTCCCTGAGCTTTTGCAAATTTAATTTTGTGGATCACATTATTAATGTCAACAGACCCAGAATAAAATGGATGAAAAATATACATTTTTGATTAATCTCTCAAGATGTTGGGTCCAGCAATCAGTTTTTTTACACAATTTTATTAAATTATTCATGTAAATGTTTCTAGAGACATCAGAAATCAGTGTTATTTCATTGTTAAATTTCAACGATCTTCATTCAATATGATCTCTTGTAGATTTTAAAGTCAGTCTTATCTTAAATTCATATTAATCAATATCCTTACAATCCCATTGAACAATTGAATGTATTGAGATTTGTTTTCAGGATAAAAAACTCATAACTCACAACAGTCAAGGTGATTGTATTATTTAACTGTACATTAATTGTCATTAAATTTGATTGAATAAAACAAGAAAAATGAATTTATGAGATTATACGATCAATGTGAGATTTAGTATGACAAGTGTGATTGTCTATTGAATTATCATGTTTTGTTTCATGGTAACAAGTGATAGATGAAAGAATACAAATCATTTTCGCGTTTTAATCAAATTTAGATCAAACGTGTTCTCATTCTGAAGGATAATTGTTCAATTTCCATGATTAACTTGACTAGGAGAACATTTAATTCATCAATTTCCTAATATTTCACTATTACATTAAAAAAACCTGAAACAATCCAGCAAATCTTGTTGATTTGCTTAAAGGTTCAATGTTATGATCAATGATAAAACTGATCCATCTACACTTCAGTAATATTTCCCGTAATATTTCTTGAATTGTCCATGTTTGGTCTATTTACTGATTAATCAGAAAACATTGAAACACACAATCAATTGTATAGACATGATTACATTGGTCGATTCAATATTAAATGGCTTGTTAAATAGTTATTATAAGAGTTGCAATATTTGTTGATTTATTTGTAATACAAGTTTGTTTGGTTAAAAATTTATTGAATTATTTTGATTTTACAATGTGATTTGTAATTTGGTTGAAAAAATTACCAGAAATATTCAATTGAGACGCAGACTAGTAATAATTTCAAGGGATAATGGCAGTAGACTCAGTAATTGACAGAAATGGCAAAGAATCATTATATTAACATTACTGGGATCACAATTTAGACAGAGAAATTAGTTGTTGACAAGGTTAATTGTGTTCAACAATCGCTTGGGTTTGTTATTTTGAAATTGAGTTACAGTTATCAATTGAGAACGAGATAGACAGTGTTAATAAAGATAATGAATTGAATGTTGAAAAACTAACAACCGATTAATTGCAGTTTTCACGAAGAAATGAGAAAATGAATTGATACGGCTTTTGAGTCTATGGTCTATGATTATAATATTACATTGAATTGTTAACAAGGATTTACAATGATAATAGACATTATAATAGGAAAGGTGAGAATCACAATTGACAACGAGATTGTCCTTCTACAATTAAAATATCAGCCTCGAGTTAGTTGACAAAAAAAGGTAAAAAAATAACTTAGTTACTCTTCATTTTCAGTGATGTGATACATACAATTATACAACTAGCTACGATTAAAATTGTAAACCTTTGCTGATATTTTTCTGGTCTATTATTATATTGTTGTCTTTCAGCGTCCATAATTGTAAATACAAATTGAATACAAAAGTTGCCAAAAAAAACGAGGCCGCACTCGAACCTTTTAGGATCCATTAACACACGCGTTTACTGCAACCTTTTTGTTGTTGTTGTTTGTCATCATGATATATCGTTATTATATTAATCTTTTGGGTATCATTCATCCATTCATTTGGAATATGATTATAACAAAGTAGAAGTGGGTGGTTGACTGGTTGAGAAGGAGGTGAAAAAAGGAAGGAATAAACCTTGCGAAAAAGTGTTTCTCTTGTATTCAAATTTGCGGGTCCATAATCAAGACAAAAATAGTTGTTAATTTGTTTGTTGGTTAACACCTTATTTTTTGTTCAATTAACCTTTCCCTTGATGCTTTTTATGTGTCGCTTTTATGATCAAACACACAAAATTTGGCTACTCTCGCGATCTCCCTCGCTTCATGTGTCCCACCAGCCTTAACAGTATATCAATAACAATTGTCATCCGATAATTTTCATTGTTCAGTTAGTAGTTTGACCAAGTAACTTTATCTCCATTCCAAATCCAGAATCAAGTTAATCTTAAGGTTTCATTGTATTCCTGGTATTCCTGGTAATTGTTGTTTACAGTTGTCTACAGACGGCATCTTCAGCTGACATTTCTTGCTTTTCGTATTTTACATATTCCAAGATTTGATTATCTTTTAATTGTGATTTCCAACTTGTTAATATCATCACGATGGGCTTTAAATTCAGTACTTTCATTGTGACTCTTCTGGGACTAATCAGTTTTTCGTGTGCAATTTTCTTTCCATCTTTGGTAAGTCCAATGTTGATCATTTCTGCAAATAAAAATAGTAAATTTTGTTACAATTAGTCTATGAAATTAGATGATGTCTTTGATTAAGCTACATTAGTGAGCAAATAATTGATATTCAGTTTGTAGTTGAACACTCAATTGTTTATGTGAGAATGCTTATGAAGTATCCAATCTGCATTCAAGTTTCCTAGAAGATTTTTTCACCGAGAATTGAGATTTTTCAGTTGTTAAGATGAAATTGAGTATTGAATTGTGAATGTAACAAATAATTAAATATTATTGTTTATTGTTTCTGATAAAAACTAATTTGATTTTCTTTACAGCAAAAAACTCAACAACTTTGCGTAAATTCAGACCAACCCAACATAAAGGTAAGATTTCTCTGAGAATCGTGATGCTTTTTCAGGTCAATGTTTCTGTTATCCAGGAAATAAACTTTAAGCATTTTCAATGTGCCAATAGTTTCAAATTGTTGATACAAAGTTGACATTGGTTGCTATTTTAGACAATGAAAACTTAGTCAACAAATCTAGAAATAATTTGTTTGAGGAAAACAGAATCTTTTTTTCTTCCTAAATCCTGACAATAACAGCAAATAAAAGAATTGATTCAATTGATTGTTCTTATTAACACTCCATAAAGAACTGTTTTAACGCATTGTTTCATTTCAACAGAATACGTGTGTTATTTGTGACTCTCGTCGTTTTGTGGATATGGTAAGTATAATAAATCATTATAATTCCATTAACTCTATCAAACCAACATGATGTTCACATTTAGTGAGTACATTTACCTGTTATATTAATGAAGAGAATTATGAAAAATAAGATCTAATTTTAGTAAATTATTGATAATGCTTACTAAAATAGCAATAACTTGGCCATCATCATGTTGGTTTGAATGGGGTTTCAGCTCAACAAAAACGGAAATAACTCTTTTATTCTTGTAATCAACTGTTTTTGGTTGTATTGTTTTGGTTACAATGGCACAACAGAGCAGACAATGTACTGGACAAGTAAGTGTTAATTGAAAATACTCACTGATTATTGTAGATTTGAGCGACTCTAATTGATTTTCCTTTTGCTTGCAATCTCAATTTGTATTAACTGGTTACCATAGGACAAGGTTCCTGACATTACCACTCAAGATCAAGCATTGTGTTTAATCAGCAATTGCCTTCAGGTAAGCACACGATTGTCTTAATGATTGTACCATCAACATTGATGCCAAATCTTCTATTTCTCTAAATCATTCTACAGCAAATACCAAAGCAGCAACGGAAAATTGTTCTTGGACGAAAACGGCGATCAATAATCAACACAAGCGTAGCTTTGCTTTAAACATGGGAGTCCCTTTAAAATTTTGCACAAAAATAGGTACCAAACCTTCATTTGAAAATGCCTTCCGTTCCACCATTTGTGTTTAATCTCACTGAAGATTCAACATCAATTAGCTGTCATTTAAAGTCCTGAAAATTATACAAAATATAATTTGTAAATCAAACAATTGAACAAACGAACAAACAAAAAAGCCACTTACTTTTCAGATTAACTTCCCTGGCTTCTTGAGCCATTCACTGTAATTGTGTTTCCTTGAAATTGAGTATTTTTTTAATCAAATGATATTTACACAGCGATATTTTTATGATTATTACCTAATTGTTGTTTAAAATATTTTGTCAACACAAATGCATCCGTACAAATAAAAGCGATAAACCATTTATTAAAACACGATCATTGATCCTCAATCTTCGGCTCATTCTTGTGACGTACACACGGTAAATTTGTAGTAAAATAAGAAAAGTTTCAATTTGATTGAAACAACGCATTAAAAATTACAAAAATCACAAAATTATTAACTTTTTAAGTTATAATAAATCGATACAATTTGAGAAACAGTTTTCAAAGTCAGAAAAGCTTTTTACTGTTGACTGTTTTTTATAAGAATATTTTCCCTGAGACTATCATGTGTTTGGTCAAATAATGTTTACAATTTGAGTTTATATCTGCAATTTAATAATTTATTTTTACCATGTTACTAAACTCATGTGTCGGTAGATTTGTTAATCTACAATTATCGGTATGTATTAATTTATTTATGAAGACTATTGCTAATTTGCACATTCATAAATTTAACATTCTTCAATTTTTATTTAGGTTTGCTCATCTATTAAAGGATCATTGCAGTCTGGATCTACAATCAGCTGGGTTCGTAATTTTCAAACAACTAGCTGTTTGCACAAAGTAGTGGTAGCTCGTCCAAAGAAAACAAAGAGAAGGACCAATCCCGTAACATATGAAGAGATTCATCCTCCGCATTTTATTGCTGTCCGCAAGGGATTCAATTCGTTAAATACATCTAATTTACTGGCAGGAACAAGGTCTGGTGAAACTGCTATCGAAGATATGTTCATCAGGAAATTTATTGAAGGTACATGGCATCGTCTTTTACTGGGAAAGCTGATCATCAAAAGGAGGGCTAATTTAATTATTCTTTCTGGTTTCTTTCATCAATCTTTGGCTCCATCCAAATTTTATTTCCTCCAAGGATATACCGAAGAAATCTTAGCTTATGTTCTTAAATGTCCGGTGAAAATGGAAATAATGACGTGCTCTGACCGTAAAGCTCTTGTAGTGACCCACGTATAAATAGATTATTCAATGTAAATTATTCACATACACCAAAAATTGTGTTGACCAGTTAAATAAAGTAGTATTGGTTTAATTATCTAAGGAAAAAGACTGTTTTTTTGATTTTCAAGTCTGTTCAACCTTAGTTCAAAGTTCAATCGTTTGAAAGACAATTTTAAAGTATCGGAAATCCGCAAATTTGGAATTTTTGACCAATAACTTACTCTCATAGATAGCGCACCAAGTAAGGGACCGACAAAACAATTTTTGCGACTGAAGTCTTGTCATCAAATAAGGAACTTAGCCCTTGTTTACTCGTTTTGTGTAAAAGTCTAAATCATAAATTTACGAATTATTAGATGGAAGTGACATTCTTCAGGAATAATAATAATCTTGAATAATTTAATTTCTAATTTTAGTCTAATCACGTGTTTTAGTGCAAGATAAATTGTATCAACAACTTGTGGTGAAAGTAATAACACTGACTGAACATCTCCAGATCGTAACCTTCATTTTGAAATTATGTTTCATTCGTTTAAGGTAAGTTTTGTTTAAAAATCGTAATTTATCTAACTTTAAGTTCCGATATTAACACCAATAAGTATTGAAAAAAACAGAATCAAAAGTGATCAGGTCAACAATTTGTTTAGATTATAATCAGTCTTGAACAGTTCAAATTTATTATTGTATTTCATCCTCGAAAAATAGGGTCTATAAATGTTAAATGACACCGAAAAGCGCATTATTATATCTAATTTTCGGTAATTGAGCCTCACTAATCAAATTTGATTTGAACCAATGAATGATTTTGCAGCCAAAATTTCAATTTATCGTTGCTTTATTTGTTATTAAAAAATCCTGAAGAGGGCGCAGAATGTGATGTTGATAATTTTGTACGTTAATCAACTCGATTCTCGACAAGTCATGTCACTAGCAAATCTAAAGGCTAATCAGCTCAAATTTAACCTCGAGCTAAGATTAATTTTAGCCCTCGAGTTAACCATAGTTCTGATGAGTCAATCAGTGTAATCCCTCAACGAAAGGAATCATCTTTTTCACCGTCAGTTTCACTTTTTTCTTTGGTCTCTTCATCAATCTAACCAGTCTTTAGTTAGAAGGATTCACACCAACAACATTTTTAAAAGTAAGAGAACGATGGTTTCACCAATGGTATACAAATTGGTACTCACTGGAGGTAAGTTAATTTTATACTAATTTAACCAGTAAGCTATAAAATCAGAGCCATTTGTATTAAATTTAGTTGATTCTCCTAACATGAACTATTTTACCTGTAAATAGGACCATGCAGTGGTAAAACGACAGGGCAAGCTCAACTGTCAACCTTTTTTGAAAATATTGGATGGAAAGTTTATCGAGTACCCGAAACAGCAACAACTTTATTCAGTGGAGGCATCCGTTTTCCTGATCTAGATGAACAGGAGAGTGAAAAATTTCAAGAAAATCTCCTCAAAACGATGCTGGCTATTGAGACAACATTTTTCGACCTTGCTTCAACATGTAAACAAAATTGTTTGATCATATGTGATCGTGGTACATTAGATGCTGCTGCTTATATGTCCAGAGAGTCTTATGATAAAATTTTGGCCAATAATAACTGGAATACGGTTGAACTTCGTGATAATCGTTACGATCAAGTTGTCCATCTTGTAACTGCTGCAGTTGGAGCTGAAGAGTTCTATAATACTGAAGATAATCCCTGTCGAACTGAAGGTGTTGAATATGCTCGTGAAATTGATCGGTTAACCGCTGAAGCATGGGTTGGTCACCCTTACATCGATGTAATTGACAATTCAACCGATTTCAAAACCAAGCTTCGTCGAATGATTGCTGCTGTTTGTCGTCGTATCGGTATTGATACTGGAGATCGGTTATCTAAAGGCAGTCAAAAATTGAAGTTTCTCGTTGAGGCTAAACCGTCTCATGATAGTATTTTCCCACCTTATCAAGACTTCGAGGTTGTCCATGACTATCTTGTGACAAACAATCCAAGAGTCCAATCTCGCCTTCGTAAACGAGGACAAAACGGAATCTGGAGTTACCAATATACAACCCGTCGATGTGATTCTCAAGACCAAGTTGTTGAAATCAGGAGACAAATCAATCATCGTGATTATATTGTAAGTTATCAATTTACTACACACTAGTCTGGTAAAGAAGAAGACAAAAAAGAGTAATCTCTTTTTGAATACACAAATCATAACTATCTACAACATTTTCCTTTATATTTACATTTATGCTTGATAACTTCAATTGAGAAAAGCTAAAGGTTAAAAAAATACTAAAGATAAAGCCAGATAATTGCTATGTCTTGCAGATATTAACATAAATATCTAAAAAACTGAAAGCGAAAAAAATCGATCAATTTGAATTATTATTCAGACAAGAAAAGATGTTTTAGTTTACTCTAGAAGACATGTGTAAATATTAGGTTGAAAAAAAGTATCAGATAAAAAAGATAGACATCTTTATAATTTTATATTTTGAAATTTTAATTGCGTTTAAATGTAACTTTTGGATTAGAAATGGACATTTCTTGAATTCATGTTCAAATTTTGACCCTGAATTCACAGTCTAGTGTCAAGTTTATTTTGAAGGTTTTTTTTACTCTCCTGATAGCGACCAATCTAATCATGTTTCATTATCATTTTGATGAATTCCTCATCTTTTTATCTCAATTTACCTGAATTTTCATCTTTAAAACTCAAGAATTTTTTAAGATGCAAGAGAAGCTTTAAGTTAGCGTTGAAATGCCATTAATCATTGGAATATTAATTCTAGTATCACGTCCATCACGTGATTATCTTTTGCTTAACTAATTTGGGAATTCATT